AGGTCTCATTCATGTATTAGGTTGGTCGAAAAGTCCTGCGACACTTTGTTTGAACTATTCTAGAAAAAGACCAAAAATCATTTTGAATGTTTTTATCTCTGATTAGTGGAGACTGTCTCCTGAGGTTTCTGAAAATGGGTATATCATGGCTCCGTGGAAGTTTTCAAAGCTTAAAAATACCTCAGAGATTGAGGTACTTCTCGACCTATCCCATATTATGAGTTCCTGTAGGGCAACTCCGCCATAGTCGAGGAAGCTAACACTTACGTTGTCTTGAGGAAGGATATCGCTCGCCATAGCGCCAAGCCAGAGCAGTTCCTAATCTGCCAATCAGCTGCCTTCCAGCGCCTGGACTTTATTCAATCGGCAAGTAGTGCAATGTATGGTCGGCCACCAGCCACAGAAATGACGGCCCTTTTTACTCACAAATGCTTGCTTGAGGCGCAGCCGAACGTAACCACCAGTGTGTTGGCAACCTCTCTAGGCTCCATCTAACCGACAACTGCCATGCTTCTCCGCAGTCTCGGTTATCGGAAAAATTTTTTATGAAGGATGAAAGGATGCCTCATGAGTTGGTCCCCTCTGACAAGTCATACCGAATGACCGTGACTGAGTTTTTTTTCCTTGTACACACTGGAGGAACATTTGTGAGATCTTGTGGTTGGTAGAGAGAGGTGGGTCCTTCGGCGTTACATTCCTTGCCCACATGTTCCTTGCAGGGATTCTCTCAAACAGAAAAGTAGATTGCAAACAGTCAAAATGCACGATTAATGTGCATGGGATAAAGATTTCAGCAGTAGTTTCGCGTTCTAAGTGAAATGTAATTGTTCGCGCGCAGCTTCTGCTCTTCACTGATTTCAGCATCTACACCTAAGCAATCGGCAACATGTATTCGACATCTACATCTCAGGCCGATAGTGAAAATGCAGTTCATGTCCTGTATAATAAGAGCCCTCAGGACCAAGCATGGTCGCCGAGAACAGCTTCAGAACCGTGTTGAAAAACCTCAAGCGCTCACCTCTGCCCAGTTTCACATCCTTCAGGAACCATGGTTTACACAGCAGACGATGCAAGATCCGCTCACGAATACCTCGGCCATGGAGGCTGCCCCGAACAGCTTCGAGATTTTCTCTGAAATGTTGAATAGTTTCAAAATTATAAGTAAAATGTAGCACGGCATCAGAGAGGCATACCCTGTCAGTAAGAGGTGGAGAAAATGAGCTTTTTGTCGCTTGAAACCCCCAACCCTTCACTGAAGCCCTCATAGGAACATTCATCGGGGACAGAAAATTTCTTCCTATTGCGGGAACCCATTTATTTCGTCGTATTCTGGCGAAACGAAGTAAGGAGGCGTGGAATTCGCCCGCCCACGCGAGCGTTTCCACCAATGATAGCGGCTTCAAAAGGCAACAATCAGTGGTAGAAAGCGCCGTGGGTGGGCGAATCCACATCTGAAACCGCTCTGACAGACTGCGACGATATCAACTGTATCATCCATATCTGAGGGCAAAAAGAATTGTCCTGGTCACTACTGCGTTTCCCTGCGGAATCCCCTCTATCCAGCCTCTGCACCTCTTTTGTCTGACACCTCGCCACTCTAAAACGACAGCTTGTTGTCTTCAGTAGGGGAGCTTTCTACTGACAAACTATGCAGGCAGAATATGTTGTTGATGGAAAGTGATAGAAATTACTCCCTTACCTTGTGTCCACTGCCCACCATCCACGCTTGTACGAATTGTCCATTCGCCGGAATCGCTTTCGCTTCCGTCGTTCTGCATGTGGGCGACCAGTCACCACATCGTCAACGAGGTCTTCGACACATGCGAACACATCCGGATGAAGGAATGACGGTGCTGAAACATGGGTGAGTGAAGAAAAGCTTAGAAACTACAGAACACCAAAAACCCGACTTTAGACATCCGTTGCTACCCAGGTTTCCGTGGGATATGTGGCAAGAGAATCGTAACTCACCGCGTTGCGGTACGAATGGCGCCCGCTATATCGCGGGAAGATTTTGGGGTATTAGTTGAGATAGACAATTTTAAATGATCAAAAACAGACATTAAGTGTCTATCGCATGTCCTCGTATACATGAAAGTTCGATGCTCGCAATGCTAAAGAGTGTGGCATGATTAAGGAAACGTCATGCCATTATCGCGGTGCGATCGCAAAGCGGCAATCTACAATTCTCTTGCCCGTTCCCGCTCATCGCGGCCTAGCAAATACCGTTGTAAGCAACAAAAAATCGGAACCAGAGCAACATGGAATCTTCTTGGCAAGGGATTCGTCCCGAGTGAAAATAGGCGCGGTTTACATTCGGCGGGCACGAATAGTCTCAGCTAATGTAGCTTGAAAGGACACTGCTTACCAGTAAAGTATGAGTTAGGAACAGACGTGCTGTTCCTAACTATACTTACTGTATAAGGACAGCACAGTGTGTCTCACTTACTAACTGACAACTGACAGCGAGTGGCATCGTTCCGCTCATGTGGTGGTAGACTGGTAAGTTCGTTTCTCACACTCGACTCGACTTTTCTTGGTAGTTCTCCTAAGATTTCGCCAAAAACGCTAGGGAGGCGAGGCGTTTGGCGGTCTAGTGGATACAACATCCAAACCTTGAGCTATGTTTAGGCCTCTGAGGACGACGATCCTGTCGAAACGTCAGGCCATTTATAATAAAGTCTTCCACCTACCAACCTCTTTGGCAGAACAAATTAAAACTTAAACATATCAATAATGCCGAGGTTTTATGAAGAGAGAACTGGAAATCTATCGAAACTCTGTGAAGACCTGCGCATCCCTGTGACCGAGTAGCTCATTCCCACCATTCCGCAGCTCTACTCGACTTCACTGGTCGTCAGAGTAAGACCTGCTATTCTGAATTGAAGGGGGGGAGGCATTTTGCACTTTCACTACTCTACTAGTTCGGTTTGCATATCTCACTCTGATAAATCCTTTGAACTCCTGTAAATGTGAAGCAAGCTTGTCGAGCCAGACCTGTCGACTCTTGTAAGCTCCCGAAATAGCTCTTTAGATGGCTCGGTGGGAAGTAGCAAAACTGCAAATTGCCCCCCCCCCGTCGTTCAACTGCACCTCATTTACTACTTTTCCCAAGAAAATTGCCGAAATCGATGCTCTGTCAGGGAGCAGACCCCTTCGGCTTTTTGGGTCGTTACGATGGATGAAAAAGGCCGAAACTTGTGACTGCATAATTCAAGTGTAACCCTCGTTGGGTTACAGTTACATTAATAAAGCAAGGGTAAATACGTTTCCAAAAAAACTAAAAGGTCTCTTATGTGCTATGCACCGTAATTCTATCATACTGTGAGATAAAGCTGGCTCAAACAGTCAGATAAAAGAGGCCTCAAACTAGTAGAACAGAGGAACTTTAGGGGGTTTTTATTTCGTAGAGAAAGAAATAGAATGCATGACAGGTAACAGCTACGCTGTCAACTCTGTGATCCTTCGGCATGTCCTCTACATTGCATGCAGGATTCCATAGACCAGAACTCTCTACGGATTCGACCAATATCGATGGTATACCGGGTATTTGCCAGTACTGCCTGCAACACTTGATTTTATTGGATTTTTTTTCTTTTTTTTTACGAAGCAGTCATTCCCAAAAACATGGCCGTTGAATCTAAGAATCAATCAATAACCTGTGATATCGATCGCATCCCAGCGGGAAACTCCGAACTTTTCGTTGACAACTCGTTGATCTTCTCTTTGAGGTGTTCCGCTTCCGAATTCAACGAGTCGATAAGGATTTCGAGTTGATCCGGCGCCATGTTTTCTTCCTGAATTAGAAGCAATTTCGTCTGAAAATCGGCATTCGAAAATAATATGGTCCTGCACTCGGGTTACCCGTGAACAGGGCACACCATAATTTGGGGATTTTTGGTCGAGTCCGTACGATCCCCCCTCTCCCCCTCCTCCCAACAGCAAGCAGATAACGCAGCACCCCCCCCCACTTTACAACGTCACTGAAACAAAAAAATCAGCGCAAAAATTTTCCTCAGCCCGAAGTACCCCCCCTCCAGCGACCAATAACGATCCCCAGAATCCCCAACAACGATGTCACTGCCCGTGAATCTTTTTTCGCTCCGGAAACGCGCGGGGCCTTTTCACTGCCAAATCTGCTGTGTTTGTTTGGCGACTATCGTTGCAATCTGTTTTATCACTGGTAAGAAACCGGTTGCGTTACTCATAAAAAGAGGCTGAAACGGGAATCCAAAGAGATCTCCATAAAATATTCCAAATCAGTTTTGAGTGTTAATTACAGCAGGGCGATTCCAGAGGTGACTTACATAGAATCAGAGGACGTTCAAGGCACTCATACTGATAGCGCTCATTGGTGTGTGCCAAGCATCCGATTCTTGCCCAAAATCACAATGGCTTTGTAAGCCACATGGCCTAACAGTTACTTACAGGGCAAGAAAAGAGCAGTTCCATCTCCCGGACTAAATTTTCAACGCGATCAACCGACACAACGGGAGGAAGATTTGCTTAGGCCCAAAAAAGACTCGATCCAACAATTTGTCTTCGCACTAGGCGTATGTGTAGTTAATAACGTCGCAATCAGGCAGGTCGGGAGTGCAGGAGTGGTGATGAATCCAGCACGCGGTTGCATTTCTACCATCAAGAGGCGATCCAGGCACGAAAACAAGCTGTGTATTAGAAGTAATAGAAGTGCCGCGGTGGTTCTCGTTCCACCACCCCCCCCTCTTTGAACTGCCCGCCGGATTGCGCCTATATCGACATTGAAGGGCGTCATTGTCATACCTTGAGCTTATTTGGTTTTGCGCGCCTTTGAAAAGCAACGGCTAAATGAAAGAACAGTTATAACGATTCAGCTGCTGCTTTTTTGACCCTTTCGCCCAGGGTTTCGATTCGGTTCGAATACACACAAATACCAGCGACGCAACCGCGCGCGTCTACGATGTGCTGTGCTCGAACGCGACTATTCTTGGACACTGATGCTCCCAACAGTTAGTGAATGTTTGCATAACGTGGAAACTATAGGGGATTTTATAATAGAACTGTAAAGGAATTGAGAGTAACAGATAGGGAAGGCAAGGACAGAGATGAAAAACTAACCTCTTCAGTGAGAATTTCACACTGGCCAAGTCCAGGCGTCAATCGTCGATCCCTGGTGGTAGGTATCGGCGTAGTCGGTCGACTAGCGTCTGATGCCTCCGAATTCCGTGATGATGGTCGCTCGTCATGCACCTGGCCATCGGCGTCCGAGCACTGTAATCCTCGTTCTGCCCTTCAGCTTCTTCTGTTGACCACACAAGGCGCTTCGAGCCTGGAATCGCGTCTTTGATAGCATTCGGTAATTTCACCGCAGGAGATAAAAAGCTTATTTATTCTGAAAATGTTGCCGAAAGGGCGGTTTTGGTATTTGTGGTGTAGTAGTTAAAATACGGCATTCTGTTTCTGAGAGGGGGGTGACCAAAAGGGCCATGCTGAGTCCTCGAGGACGTTACTGAGGTTACTGTGCTTTCTTCAGAGAGGGGCGTTGCCATCCGCCCAGAAGATATAGTGCTCATGTCATGTCGCGATTCACCACTGTGGGTCTTGACCGTCACATAATAGTTTGAAACTTTTTCGTCAACGGGTCGGATTTAGCTATTAATTATTAACCGACTAAGGACCAAAAGAGAAGCGATTTGTCATCTTTCAAATGTATTTTTACTCCACTGGATGAGTTTATTTATCACTTATTGGACAAACAATAAGCACTCCTGTTCTGACTAATCGTATCGCCTCTGGTCCACTTTTCTGACCGAACTCTCTTCAGGTCAGCACAACCCCAGAAAAAAAAAGCGCCTAATGAATTCGAGACCCACCTTTCCATCACGCATCCATCGGTCGCCTTTTAACCGTCCGACCTCCTCAAGATTACGGTCGATTTCTTTGACGATGTTCGGGCAGCACAAGAGTTCGTTGCAGAGGAACGCCAAAATCGACGCCTTCTCTTCACCACTGAGCTCTGCGAAACTTCGATCCACCAACAGATGCGAAAGCTAGAAAAGTTCGTTGCGTTTCTAGAATTTTCATGAAAAATAGTGATGTCACAACCTAACCTTCTTGGCATGCGAATCTCTCGTCGACAAAAAATAACCGGGCATCAGCTCCGGTAAGTTTCTGCTCGCTCACACCCACCTTCGGACAAGGTTTGGCCAAGTCGCGTCTTGCCTCTGAAACATACGGGTCGTTTGAAAAGGGTGTCCATGAAAATAAACAGTCCCAGTCGATTCTTCCACGTCGTGAGGCACATTCCATGAGAAAAGGATGAGCGGAGATTTATAAGCACTGTGCCTTCCTCACTGACGCGGCGCCTATCCTGCACAGTATTGGAATAAAAGGCGCATCTGCAGAAGAAGCAGATAGTTTGTAAATCTCCACCCACCCTGCTAACGCGGAACATAGTTTGTAAATCTCCACCCATCCTGTTATCGCGGAACATGATTCTGAAAACTGTGCTCCAAGGCTAAGGAGGAGAACTGAGAATAAGCTCCACTCATCGAGAACCTACACCCCTCGGGAAGCCTAGATTTGAGCGATACAATCAAGACCGATTCCCCTAAGTCTTTGGAACGGCCCACAAACCCAAAAACTGAGACATACCGTTTCCCACTCGGCAATCCGGGATATTCGAGAGCTAGTCGAAAGAGCGATCGGGTGAGTTGGAGGACTTTTTCAAAGTGTTCGACATCACCAGCGAGACCAGCACATAATCCGCTCAGCGATGGCAAAGAGGCGGGATCTGAAAAATTCCATGAGTTTCCTCAAGTGGGAGGTTTTAAGGGAGAGAAACAAGATGACTCACCAATTTCTAGCACCCGATAGAAATTATTTACAAATTCGTGCACCATCAAGGCGTCAGCAAATCCGGCACCATTCAAGTGCAGATTTTCTACTCGAGGTAAGTCAGGCACGGCCTAAAACATTCGATAGTAAAGCCTACTTATCCCTCTTCCCAATTTCTTCAGACCTCGGACATACCCTGATTTCCGTGAGCAACAGATCATCTATAGGTTCACGACTCCACTTGATCTTATCCTCGTCATCGTAAACTTCCAGCGGTGATTCCTCCACTTCAACATGATGTTCAGCAACCTGTAATTAGTTGACCTCTTGTGAAAATTGCTCCTGCAACGACAGCTCCAAAGTACGGTACCTCTTCAGGGGTAACTGCTCGAGGTTCAACAGCAGGCGGAACTTTTTCGCGATGTTTTCGCTCTCCGTTCCGCGGCTGTGGCTTTAGCGAAAGTAGCCGGTTCACTTCTTCAGCGATCAGTTCTTCACTCACTTTTACCACGGTCTGAAAGGAGGAATTTGGCGTAGAAGCGGGATTCAGCGTCCAACAAACATCGGCGGTGACATACAAG